AGACATCTAGCTGAAAATTCAAATTCAAGTCCTCCTATATTTGTATCTGACTGGATTGCGCTAGCAGGTACGGAGAGGGCTATATCCAATAACATACAAACCTCGCGTACACCACTATTCATGCTTTCACGATTCATGCTTTAATGCTTGATTTATAACTATTAACAAATAACATATAACAATAAGTAACATCAAACGAAATAATTTAACATACATTATAAGAATAGTCAGGGATTACTTTCTAGAAACATTATAATATAAAGTAAGATTTCAACGGCTCGTTTAGCTATCTTATTTGTAATGTTTTGAATGGTTTTAATGTAAAATTCCATTTCTATTTTATGGATATGGTGTCTTCCTATAATTAGCTGTGCAGACTTTATTTTTACTTTTTTGTGCAGACTTTTTAGCTCTTGGATACGCGACCTGGTGACGTCTTGTTTTACGGCTAAATTCGCGCAGACATCGAAACAGGAATAGATTTACTGCGAAGTCGATGCAGTGTTGTCAAAGAAACCCCTGTATTTTTTTTCTGACAGAATGGCACAAAAGGCCGCAGCCATTGACAAGCCAATAGAATTACCCCCTTCATCAATGTATTGGACGTTGTGTCCAATCAGAGGCGGAAAGCGTAGGGAGGCGGGGCTTCAGCCGCCAATCAGAGAGCCCAGTCTGACGTTCACAGCCTGGCTGGCTCACCGCCTATAAACAGTAGTTAACCATGAGCAGGGAATTCATCGCGGCGCAGAAATATTGAAACTGGGCCTTGTTGATAGGTATCCCCTCCTCGCTGTGCAGCTCTCATGGTAAGCTTTGTAACTGCATTCATGAGACGTTTGTTTTTGGCGTTTCGCATATAGCAGCCCTTACACTGCTTGCTGCTTGAAGTTCAGTATAGGTTTTCCACGGGCCTGCAGCTTCTGTCCATCTTATTCATCTTTTTCCATGATGTGTTTGTATGTAATTTACCACCTTCACGACCGCAGTGTGGCCTACAGTCGAGCTAATTCTCAAAACCGCAGATACATAGCAACCTAGTTCTAACTGAAAGAAATTTAGTAGCGGTTACGTTTATACCTCACAGAGCCTATACTGTTCTTATTTTTTTAGCGCTAGACGAAACGTTACGAATTCACGACGAAGTGCGTAAACGTGGTTTGAGGATTTGCAACCTTTTTTTCATTTCTGTCCCTGGAAAACT